AAGGAATACACAGAGTCCCTGTACTAAAAAGAAGGGTCAATGTTCAACCATTTCAGGAGGTAGCGTATCATTGAGAACCAATGGTACTGAAGGAAGAGGTCCAAGCTGCACTGAAGGCATTGGCAAAAAACAAGGCTCCAGGAATTGATGGAATACCAATTGAGATGTTTCAGCAAACGTACAGCGCTGGAGGTGCTCACTTGTCTATGCCAAGAAATTTGGAAGACAGCTACCTGGCCAACTGACTGAAAGGGATCCATATTTGTGCCCATTCCAAAGAAAGCTCATCCAACAGAATGTGGAAATTATCAAACAGTTTTACTAATATCACATGCAAGTAAAATTTTGCTGAAAATCATTCAAAAATGGTTGCCGCAGTATATCGATAGGGAACTGCCAGAAATTCAAGCTGGATTCAGATGAATTATTGAGTTTATTAGGAAAAAAAGGTGATGGACGATTACCCCTTCTGGCCAAAGAGGATGATAGATGATGCCTCCCTCTTCTTAGAGATAACTTTCTAAGGCTTTTTGTTTGTAAACAAATAGAAACTTCTGAAACAAAAGGCAGATTGGGGAGTATATCAAATTGACAGTTTATACAAAACCGTTATGTTTTCAGTACAGTAGCAACACACAATATTCTATTAAATGTAAAATACCACAAGACCTATTAACTGGACAGTGGAGAGAACTTATCAGATCTTGAGAATATTCAAAACTTCAGTTTAAAAACTGGAATCTTAGTTTTTCAATTAAACTTACATTTTTTTTAAATTGGTAAACCATATTTGGTAAGAATCTTCCATTAAACAGAATATTTAATTAACTGTAACACCCAACATTTGATTATATCAGTTTATATCTATAACCAAAATTGGGATATTACATCTATTAAGTTTCCTATTTTCTACCAATACAGAGGAGAAACTGGTTTTAGGGAAATAAATGTCATTGGGACATACTCTCTGTTCCTCATCTCTGTACACTGGTTTCTTTTGTAACAAAGTGGGAACCTGTTCTCCAGCAGCTCTGGGATGGCATCCTTAGAGCCATGTAGTCAGACAAGAGGTAAGACTCATCTCCCAACTCCACAGAGAATAGACATGGAGAACTTTCTAAGAGCTCTAAATGAAGATTTCACAAACAGGATGAGAAGACTAACTTGAAAGATAATTCTTACCAAATTAATTTATAAGTATAATGCAATTCCAACCAAAACCTCACTTAAATCTTTTGGTAACTTGAAAAATAAAGTCTAAACTTCATCAAGAGGTTTCCAGAATACCAAGCTTAAAAAAAAGGAATAGTAAAGGGAATTTGCCCTATTGGTGATTAAAACGCATTATAAAGTGATAATAATTATAACGGTGTTATGTTGATGGAAGAAATGACAAGTCAACTGGACACAACACACACATGCAGATATGTGCATAGTAAAAGGAAGGAACCCAAACCAATGGGTGGAAATGGACTAACCAATAAAGGGTGCTGGGAAATTAACTATATGGGAAATAAATCATGCTAGATCCTTACATCACATTTTATTCCCAAATAATGTCCAAATGAAGTATAAAACAAAGCATCAAATAAATTTGACAACATACAAATGTACAACTTAAATGTCAAAAAAATTACACACAAAATTAAAAGGCAAACAAAACTAGGAAAACATTCTTAAATTGATGAACTGTTACTATAATGTATAAGAATACTTAATGTTTATTAAATGAAGTGTCTGTATTAATTAAATGTTACTTTTATGAAGTCATTAGAAAAAAAGGATAGTAACCATTCTAGAGATATACTATTAAAAGGTAATTAATACTACTACCTTATTGAAAACAGCAAATGATTTTGATTGGTCATTCATAGTTCAGTATTAGATAATTTTATTTTCATTATACTTATAACAAGTGTAAAGCAAACACACACAGAATTAAGGCTCATACATTTTTCAAAAATTAAATCTGTTAACTTCAAAAGTGGTCATTCTATCTTATGTCCTCACTTAGATTCTGTGTGAATAGCTTGACCCAAATCACTTAGGTTTCTCTGTATTAATTGTAGTTGCTGGTATAACTTAAAAAAACAAAACTAAAAAATGTCACTCACCTGATATGAAAATTAACCACATAGAATGAGTTCAATAATGTTCTGAATTTAATAAAGAACTGATTTAACTCTGCTCAGGAACTATAAAGAACTGAACATTCTTATCAATGGAAAAATAAGAACTCAGAATATACTTTGGCTTAAAAATTAGTTCAATCTTCAAGATGCTGATGAGAAAGGGAGCCCTGGTGGCGCAGTGGTTAAGAGTACAGCTGCTAACCAAAAGGTTGGCAGTTCAAATCCAACAGCCGCTCCTTGGAAACCCTTTGGGGCAGTTCTACTCTGTCCTAAAGGGTTGCTATGAGTCGGGATTGACTCGACAGCAATGGGTTTAACGGGATGAGAAAGTATGAATAGCAACTAAAAAGATAAATAAGTGCATTCAATGAGAATTTTTATTTCAATTATCCACAAAACAATATTACAATACTTTATAAAAATATTAAGTTTTAGGCTACCATTATTCATTTAAAAAAGTGTTTTTGCTAGAAGGCTGTTTTTGCCAACTTCCATTTTTGGTAAGGGTTAAGTTCTGCATTGATACTGAAGATGAAAAGCTGTTCAAAAAAATCTTCAGATGTACAAAGTTGTTTATTTCTCTTGGCGATTTAAAAATACATAACCACTTAAACTCAATGCACATTTAGTGTTTTATTTCCTTACTACACAATTGTTATTACAAGGAACTGTGCCACTTATTTCAAACCTAATGAATTCCATCAACTTTTCATGGCTTATTTTTCTTAACAGCATTAGTACATAAACATAATTTTGTTCTCTTTTTTAAAATGCTTAGAAAAATTATAATATCAGTTCACATAAAGCCCTTTAAAAATCTGATGTCACACGCTGTAGATGTTAAGGGTAAATAATGATGACACTCTCCTCAGAAGATCCTCTTGGCAGAGGGATTCAATACTAAGCAGGTTACGTAAACATAAGAAACAATCACAATTTTTAGTACCAGAACTGTTGCCAACTTGCACGAAATTCATTTGTCACATTTTAAAATGGTCTGAGTTTCGACACAGATACTATGGCACAGAATTTTCAATTTTATGATTAAATCAAGTAAGTGATGGTAGATAAAAATTACATTCCTAAAATACAGGGACCAGATGTTATTGCTTTATTTAAGTGTGACTATAAAATACAGTATTTAAAAACATAAATATCAGACTTTTATTTATCAGATTCAGTTTTTCCTTTGCTATCCACTTAAACCAGTAATGCTGCTATTCAAATTTGTACTTTGGAATTTCTTTCTGTGTTAGTCATAAAAATCAGTCTTTATGTTTCACTTCTGCACTTTAAATGGGCAAAAATTATCTGTTATTATTCTAAGTTTTCCTCCCCAAACCAACTATATTCTAAAATGGAAAAAATGCTCACCAGTAAGCATATTTAAAAAGTGAATGTAGATTCAAACAGGAATTTGAAAACTAGAGTTCTAAAAATGCTCTGAGTAAAAGCTGTATCACTGTACTAAGTGTGAAAACTTCACTATTTTGAGGATGTCCACTCAGTGTGTGTTGGGAAAAATTAGTTTTATATTTTTACCTTGTAACTCTTTAAAGTCTTAGAATACATAACTGAGGAGTGCCAGCAAAGCCATCTGATCACTCTATGACATCAACAGTAAACATTCCATTCCATCCCCCACCTGTAAAACTCTCCCATTTTTCTCTTCTCATATCTCTTTTAAATACATTTTCCTCTCTGTTAGTCTATATTCAGTAACAGCAAAAGTGCATCCAAGTCCCTGATCTAGTGCTGTTTTGTATTTGTGGCACCCATTACCATAAAGACATATTAGCAACATCTCACAGTACCAAGTCTCTTTTTTTTTAAAGAGGACTGTTTAAATGCTGGGTCATGCTTTTCATGCTATTTAAAGATTTAAAGTTTTCCCCTTGGATTGGATAGTATAATTTCAATTATATATTGGCTTTTATTTGTTTTAATCAATGCAACCTTATAAAAGATCAACTCACTTTCTAATTACCTTCATTATTCTAAATTGAACTATTCAGAAAATGATTAAAGTGAAAATTTTCTTATTCTACTTTCCGTTCCATGAATATGAGTATTAACATAATACATTATACTTTCAAATTCCACTCGAGGTCTAACATTTAATCAAGTTTTAGATGCTATTTATATTCCTTTTTGCTTCTGTAAAACTTGGCCCATTTCCATGCAAAAGGAGGCATATATTAAAACTGCATACTAACTGTCCAACTTAGAAAAAACTTTTGAGAATAATGAATGCCAGAAATTTTTAAAAACTGGAATGGAATTACTTGGTCCCATGAAATTTCTTAATTTTAGGTTTTATTATGGTACGGAGCCCTGGTGGCATAGTGGTTAAGAACTCAGCTGCTAACCAAAAGGTCAGCAGTTCAAATCCACCAGTTGCTCTTTGGAAACCCTATGGGGCAGTTCTACCCTGTCTTATAGGGTCGCTATGAGTCAGAATTGACTCAATGGCAACGGGTATTGTTTATATTACAGTCTAACTTTTTGTCTCCCAAGTTCTGTCTAGAATGATAATTTCCCTTAACAATTCCGAGTTGGGGAAGAAACAGTAGCATTGTTGCTCTTCATTGTCAAGCTATCACTTACACTGTCATAAACAGCTCAGCTCTACTTTGTTTGGACCCTGAAATAAGTTGGAGAATTCATCACTGGTACTTTAGAGTTTAACATTTGGGGAAAAAAAGAAAAAGTGGTTTTGTGCAACCATGTCTGGAATTCCAGTTTACCATAAAAAACATGCAGCGTAAAGAAGATTTTCTTCTTTTGACTCCTGTACATTAAGTGAGGAACTCTACACAAGTTCTTTCCATTTTGGCAGATTTGTGCATATAAAACAGGTTACTTGACTTATAAATTTTCTCCTGGCTGGTACTGTGGCTCTGTAGCAGTGAAGTAGTCTTCCAAGAAAGACTGAATATATTCAAATGTTGGCCTTTCATCTGGGTCCTTCTTCCAACAAAGATTCATCAATTCATGTAGGGACTCTGGACAGCCCTGAGGGCAAGGCATCCTATATCCTCGTTCCACCTGTTCCAGCACTTCACGGTTCACCATACCTGACACACAAGATTCAAACATTAAAAAACAACAACCACAACCACCGCTAGCGAAACAGAACAAATCCCCTAGCTTCTAACTGACTTGAAGAAAAGCTGGTTTAGTGAAATGATTCTTTCAACAAAGAAGCAACAAAATTTAAAAGGCACAGTATATCAAGAAAGACTTATAAAATGCTAATTTGTGTTTCAACATGTCTTACTTATTTATTCCACCTCAAATCTTACTTTTAACACAAATGTCTTTCAAAGCCAACTCCATTATAAGAATGTAGGGTGTCCCTTTGAGATACTGATACTTCTTAATATTAACAGCTAGCTATGACCAAAATTGGACAAATGAAGAACAGTGGCAAGACAGTGTCTGAAAGAACTTTGAAGCAGGAATTCAGAAGTAAAGAGTCCTAGTCCTGCTTTTGCCAAATATACTAACTACGTAACTTTGTATCGAGTCACGTTCCTGAAAAAGCTCCCCTTACTCCTTTGTAATTTTCCCTATTTCCCCTCCCTCATCAGCATCTCACCCTGTGTTATCACAGGCCATAAACATTTTCTTCCCTACGCTGTATCATGGAGCCCTCAACGCCATTCTTCCCATCTCCTACACCAACTTCTCTGCCTGTTGAATAGTCGGAGCCACCCTCATATTTCCCACAATCTTGAATCAACCATCAATGATTTTTCTTCATTGACTATGATTCCCTCAAGCCAATGTAATGGAGCTAAATCATTATTTCTATTTTTAGTTATGATACGTTCTGAGAAATATATCTTTTTTATTTACTAAAAAAGGAAACTACATAACTATTACTCCGGGGCCCAATACTTGAAATTTTATCTAAGTAGGTGGTAACATCTTTATAAGTGAAATCCAGCACATTTTGCAAACCACAGAAATATAACCAGATGTTGTCAGGGATGGGCAAAAAGCAGCAAGGGGATTAATATTCAGTGAGGATTTACTATAATGGAGGTTCTTTTATTTATCACTCTTAAGCTTTTGTTCATAACCTTTGTTATGCTTTTCTATTATTTTAATTGATTGTTAAGATTGATTAATCTAAATAAGCCTAAGCCTGACAAAATTAACTTCTGATTATCAAAATCTGACCATTCAGAATTTTCTGATAATCCAAACTATTATTTTATGCCAATAGTTATGAAATTAAAATATGGCAGAAATGTAGTAGTAGAAGTACTCTATGTCTTCAGGATGAGAAAAGTTACCCTAAAGGGAACTAATTATTAAGGAAATTTCTGAGCTTCAAAATAGATAGAACTTTCTTAGCAGAGCAGAAAGTCAGGTTTCTCTCCTCTACTCCCCAGTAGAAAAGGAGATCAATTCTAAGATTGTCCGTACTTAACATCACATGGTAAATATTAGCACTCTATCAATAAATTTAAACACTGCATACCTGTTTGAATCTGCCAAGGTTAATGTCCCAAAATAAGACTAGTAACAGCTTGCTGTTGCTTTGCAATGGATAGCCCTGCTGTGAGACGAGCCTGTAGCTGTTGGTTTTTTGTTACCTGTGTAAAGTTCTTTCAGAATCCTCTTGAAACCATCGAAGACAGATAATTATGTTTATATAGGATAGCTTTTAGTTCTTTAAAAACTGGCAATCTACAAATTGTTTATATTCTGACTCTCATCTGAATATTTACCTAGAGTATCTCAATCCTATTAATTTTTGTTTTGTATGAGTTGAAGCTATGTAGCCACAAATTTTTAATTTTTGTGTTTCCATGTTTAATTGGCCCTTTATCATTATGAAATGTTCCTCTTTGTCTCTAGTAATATTCTTGCCTTAAAGTCTACTGTTGAATAGGCTTTTTAAAAAAAAAATATTTTTACTGTGTTTTTGGTGAAACTTTACACAGAAAATTAAGTTCCCATTTGACAATTTCTATACAAACTATTCAGTGACATTAGTTACATTTTTCACAATGTATCAACATTCTCTTTGTGTTCTGGTTGTTCCATTTCCAGTACCCTAGTTTCCCCGCCCTCTTATCTTCTCATCTTTGCTTTAGAGTAACTGTTGACCTTTTGGTCTCATACAGATGGTTTTTTAGTAGAGCTGCATATTTATGAGTAATATCCTTCATTTTGTGTGCCACTCTTGTTTTGGTAAAAGGTGATCTCAGGGGGTTAGTTTCGGTTCAAGGTTTAAAGAGTGTCTCAGGGTGATAGTCTCTGGGCGTCCTCTGGTCTCAACTGGTCCGGTTAGTCTGGCCTTCATCTAGTTCTTCTGGTCTCAGGGTACATGAGGCCGTGGCTTGTGTAGGTTATTAGCCTTGTAGACATGTTTTTTCTCTGAGACTTTGGTTTCCTTCTTACTCTTTTGCTCCTGACGAGTAGAGACCAACAGTTCTATCTTAGATGGCCAACTCACAGCTTTTATGACCCTAGACACTACTCACCAAACTAGGATGTAGAACAATAATTTTGTGAACTATATTGTGCCAACTGAGTTTTCCCATAAGACTAAGATCTAAGCCTTCAAACCTAGAAAATCAGTCTTGTAAGGTGTTATGTCTGAGAAATATCTGTAGTTGTGTTTTCTATGAATATATGCGCCTGCACACACATATCTGTACTTACACACACATACAGATACTTCTGTCTGTGCACACGTATGTACCTATCCATATACCTCTATGCCAGTACATGTACATATGTGACCATACACTCTTTTTTTTGGTCTTTGTTGGAGTTGTTGCCAAATTACGTATGTTAAATTCTTTAGTACAAGCATCCTTTTCTCTTGAGTGCTTCTCAGTGACATCATTTACTCTGGTCAAGCTGTACTCACTACACCAACATTTGTTGCCACTTTTCCCATCTCCAAAAATAAGTATCTATGATCTAGAGTATGATTCCCCCACCACCCAAAACAGGCTTTCTTTTGGCTTGTATATTTTCCATCCTTTTAATTTCAATCTCTTTGTGTCCTTATACTTAAAATGAGGAGCCCTGGTGCTGCAACGGTTAAAGCGCTTGGCTGCTAACTGCAAGGTTGCCGGTTTGAACCCACCAGCGGCTCCACAGAAGAAAGATGTGACAGTCTGCTTCCATAAAGATTACAGCCTTGGAAACCCTATGGGGTAGTTCTACTCTGTCCTATAGTGTTGCCGTAAGTTGGAATCGACTCGATGGCAACATGTTTATACTTAAAATGGGTCTCTTATATATAGTATTTGTGTGTATTTAAAATCCAGTCTTATCTCTGTCTTTTAACTGGAGTGTTTAGTGCACTTACAGGCACTGTAATTATGGATATAAAACCAAAACCAGTTGTCGCCGCTTCATGGTGACCCCATGTGTGTCAGAGTAGAACTGTGCTTCATAGGCTTTTCAATGACTGATTTTTCGTAAGTAGATCAGGCCTTTCTTCTGAGGTGCCTCTGGGTGGACTCGAACCATCAACTTTTTGGTTAGCAGCCAAGTGTGTTAACCACTTGCTCTACCCAGGGATTCCAATTATGGATATAAACCCATTGCCATCGAGGTGATTCCAACTCATAGCAACCCTATAAGACAGAGTAGAACTGCTCTGTAAGTAAGGCGCAGCTGGTGGATTTGAACTGGTGACCTTTCGGTTAGCAGCCGTAGCTTTTAACCACTGCCCTACCAGGGTTTAACTCTACCATCCTGTTTTTTAAGTAGTATTTGTCTCATCTGTTCCTTGTTCTAAGTTTTCTTTTTTTTTTTTTTAAGTTTACCCTCTTATAATTCTTTTAGCGCTTATCCTCGACATTACAGTATTCTTCTTTGACTTATTATACTCTAAGTACTTTTACCACTTCCCAAACAAACTGAGAAGTTCACCTGTTACTTTCTTACCCCCTCTACTCTCTGTTGTTATTGTCTTAGTTTTCTTTCATGTACATTATAAATTTGCTAAGACATTTTTATTGATGGTGTTTTAAATAGTCACTATTCATTTATATTTACTCTGTCTGGTGCTTCTCATATCCTTCCTGCAGTTCTGTGCTTCCATATACGATCATTTCCTTTTAGCTTGAAGAACTCCCTTTTGTATTTCTTGTAGTGTAGGTGCACTTGTGACAAATTTAGATTTTTTTTTTTTTAAATATGAAAGTACCTTTTTTCATTTATGAAGAACATAGAATGCTAAATCAACAGCTTTTTCCCCAGCACTTTAAAGACATCATTTCATTTTCTGGCTTTCACGTGCTGTTGGAAAGTTAGCTGTCAGTTTAACTGTTGCTCCTGTGAAGATAGTATACCACCTTCCTCTGGCTGGGTTTTTTTAAAATTTATTTATAATAATATTTTATTGGGTTTTTGGTGAAAAGTTTACACAGCAGTTTAGGTTCCCATTCAACAATTTCTATGCAAGCTGTTCAGTGACATTGGTTACATTCTTCACAATGCATAAACAGTTTCACTTCCATTCTGGTTGTTGGTTTCCATTAATCTAGTTTCCCCGCCCCCTTACGTTCTCATCTTTGTTTTAAAGTAATTGTTGACTGTTTGGTTTCATATAGGTGATTTTTTAAAGGAGCACAGTACTTATGGGCAATATCATTATTTTTTCAACCAATTTGTCATTTAGCTAAAAGGTAACCTCGCGGTTTAGTTTCAATTCAAGGTTTAAAGAGTTATCTCAAGGCAATAGTCTCGGGTAGGCTTCTAGTCTCAACCAATCCAGTAGGTTTTTGTTTTGTTTTTTTAAATTTGAGGCTGTTCCACATTTTTCTCCCGTTCCATCAGGGTCCATGTATTGTGGCCCTGATTAGAACAGTCGTAATGGTAGTCAGGCACCATCTAGTTCTTCTGATCTCAGGGTTGATGAGGTCATGGTTCGTATAGACTATCTGTCCTGTAGGCTAGCTTCTTCTTCGAATCTTTGGTTTCCTTCTTTCTCTTTTCCTCCAGACAAGGAGAGACCAACTGTTGTATCTTAGATGGCTGCTTGCAAACTTTGAAGACCCCAGACACTACTCACCAAACTAGGATGGAGAACAGCAAT